ATGCCATTTTTTAAATGAAATAATTCAAATTCAGTATTTTAAAATTTCATTTAGTATATTTCAATACAAGTATCATACTGAAACATACTAAGTCTGAATTTAATTTAAGTAAACCTTTCAACAATAAAAGTAATTTTCTAATTTTAATGCTTTAGTTTATTATACTATAATTAAATTAAGAAGTTTTATCTTATAAACTTTTCGTTTAAATTGCGTGAATCTAATTTTAAATATATTTACTAAAATAAAGAAAAATTTTTTTCTCAGTGTAAAGAAGAGTATCGTGAGTTCATAAAGGTAAATGGTTAGGCCAAATGGTAATATTGTCAATCGAATCGCTATACTGTATATCTCGTCTGTTCCATATCTCGTGCTAATATATCGAGAAAAATACCTCTTATTAGGAAAAATGTTTTCTGTTAAAGTGTAACTTGAAATGTCATTCTCATTTAGAAATTAGTACCTATATATAGGATTTAACCCATTAAGAACCGCTGGTCAATTTTTCGACCAAAAAAATAGGTCAACTTTGGGACCAAATTTGGACCAATGGTCGCAAAATCGACCCCCTCCCCCCCCCCGGCCTGAACGACCAATTCAAGGGTGAAGATTTTTGGCAAATAGGCTCCTTAAGGGCATAGCAGCTTGCCATTAAAAGGATCTTAAATTTTGAGAAAAACAATTTGTATTGGTCTTTAATAGGTTAAAGGTACTGCGCGATGTATGCTTAAGAGTGTGGAATTCAGTAGGAGTCAATTCCTGGAAAATCTATTTTCTGGAATTATAAACAACTGTCTGTCCACTTCGACAAAGCGAATGTCTCTTTTTTCCGCCAATTGTAATTCTCGGAAAAAAAGATTAAAATGAATTACTTCAAACATAATAGAAAAGCAATTTAAAATTATTTATAGTATATCACTGAATTTAATCTCTGGAATTATAATTAATATAAGTCTATGCCTTATTTTTAAATTAGATTTATAGATTTTTGCCAGAGAGTGGTATGCATAATAAACTCTGAAATGGAAGGAACTTCAAGCCAGAACTAAATATCTTAACAGATTATCTATTTACAGCCTTCTTTTTATTTTTTATTCATAGCGGATTATGAAAAATGCTGGATTTATTCACTTGGATAGTTAAATCGACTATTCTAAAATCTTGAAGAAAAAAAATATGTACGTTTACAGACGTTTTCATTTTTGAAGAAAGATTTGAAGGGACCACGGGCCATTATCCATAACCCATTGCCTGAACGAAGATCGATGGAAGACAGACACAATGCAATGTAACGCGGGATCTGCTTTGACCTTTCGCAGCGTGGAGGAAACGCGAGAGATATGATGGGATGTAGAAAGAGCGACCTAATGTTTGAAGTTTGAAGAATACGCATGGATCATCAATCATATATGAAAACCTCGTGAACACGTTTATGGTTGTATGCACTAACGAAAGTTCACTTCATATTAGTAAAGCAGTTGCAATAATTTACCGACAGTAATTAATGTTATGCGTTAATTGCACTTGAAAGACTCACTTGCATCTTCGATATACTTCAGTAAACAAGGAGAAATGTAAAGTTATGATATGTTCAATATATCACTGCTGATTAGTAAATTCCAACAATGTTTGCTATTAATTTGCCAAAGCTAAAATATTATTAATTTTTAATATACAATGTAAGAATACATATAAAGAATTGTTATATAAAATAGTATTATTTTAAAATATAACAAAGAATAAAAAGATCTACATAAAAATAGATTAACGATACCCGTGTGAAGTTGGCCCCCCAACTTTTGAAAAAATTAATTTTCCATAGCTCATTCGATTGCTCATCGTTTGCACATTTATGCACACTTTGAATTTTCATTTGCACACTTCTAGTAAAAAAGTTATTAAAAAAAAAAAACAATTTTGGAAGGGCTGACTTCATACTAGCCCCCCAACTTCGAGCAAATTGGATCGAAAAAATCATAATCGACAGATTTTTGTTTTGCACATTTCGAAAAAATTTGATTTTCCGTTTGCACACCTTTAGTTAAAAAGTTATTAGCTAGATAGCGTAATTTTGCAATTTTAAACGACAATTTTAAACGAGAAAAATTAATTTTCTCAAATGTTGAGGGTCTAACTTCACACAGGTATTAATGATACATATTTATTCTACGTTTTTCTTTTTTCTCGTGAAATTATATAGTTTTATATGTTAAATCTCACGAACGATTTTTGGTGTCGAGAAAATTTTATCTGTCTGGCCAGATAGAACATTCCGCAAATAGCGAGTTTGTGTTTTGTTGCACGTACTACATATCTACAGCAAGTAGATTACCCGTGATGTACATTAGTTTCGGGGACTCTTGCATCCCATAGAGCAGGAAATCGTGCCTTCGTCAGCGGTCGGATTGCGACGCCTAGACAAGTCCGATCGTTTACAAAGATTGACTACTGTTGCAACATAGGGTGAAATAACATTCGACGATAACAAAAACGGACAGTGATAGATGACGCAAACGCCCGATGACGCTGTACAGTTTATCCGGTGTATTTCTTCCCGCCGACGAAATGCAAATGGCATCGATAATTAACGTATTCATTATGCAAATTGATATTCTCAAAAACAACCAAACTGAACTCATGACAATGATCGCGACCAATCAGATTCCGCTTGCGTTCGATTTTACGTTGAAAAGCATACTATAATGTGTATAATGTCTTTTTTTTACGTAATTCTATTTTAAATACATCCCTATAGGCATGTGTTGATTGAAGTGACGTGGAAATGTTTCGCTAACGATCAGCGAACGTGAGATTGCGCGAGTCTGTCTCATCTCTCTCCATCTAGAGATTATTCGAGATTTGTCAGGGGAACGTGTCGATCTGTTCGGATCCACCTAATTTCCTTAGAGCTTAAATCTTCGTAGAACGGAAATAGTTTATCGCTTGGAGCGTCCCGTCCGACGCGTCTCTGCTTTCTAATTTGCACGGAGACCTGTCCGATCGTTCACGGAGATTGACTACTGGCGAAATTAGAAATCGCCTCCCGTATCGCTGTACGAAAAACTTTCAATAAAAAGCCTTATGGACTGCAATAAGAAAAAGTCACAGTGTTATATAGTAACTTGTGTCAGTTTAAAACATTTTATACAGATATATATATAGACCTTTTAATTAAAACAGAATGCGAAAATGATTCAAGCGTCTGTACACACATTAATTCAAGTTAATCGAGTATGCTCAGTATTAAACGTTTAGTGTATCGATTCTGGCAGTCTTCGCTAATTTCCTTGGTGCCTTTACAGGGACACGGCAGAAGGGGAAGAATTTGTCGGTTGGAACGCTTACGTAAATTACCAGGGAGTACTCGCGGGAGAATATTCTCGGTGTCAAGGCGCTTTAGCCCACCATTAGGCTGTTAATGTCCGTGACACGCGCAGAATTAGCACCCCAATGGCGAATTATGCAGGATTTATAACGGAAGTGGTATAATGGAAGTCAGGCCAGACTGTTTGCTATTACAAAGTAACGTTACCATGAAAAATGTGACGTTATGAAGATATTAGAATGAAATAATACTGATGTTTTTACAAGATACTTATTACATAATACGCAACTGTAAAATAATACTTAAAAGTTCTACTATAATTACACGTTTAATCCTTCTGTCAATGCATAATTTTTGCATTTTTTCACTACTGTGTTTCACAGGGATCCCACTAAAACTATAAAAGCGAAAACGAAACAAAATTTATGCAAAACTATTCTTTATTGTTCAAAGAGTGGAGCGTTTTGAAGCGTCATAACAAAATTCGCACAAAAATATAAAAACTTTTACTGTCTAAAATATATAGGTGCCCACGTATTCATTCACAGACGGAAGAGTTCATACAGAAATTTCTGTAAAACTTGATTTCCATCATTTTGCACAAATGTTAGAGAAATCAACGAATAGCCTACATTGCAGCAATTATTGGAGGCGCAGATCGACACGATCGATGAAAACACGATTACGAGATTACAGGAGAAGGAGAGGTCGAATTCATTCGCGGTTTCCTCAATCTTTCCCTACCTCGATGTAATTTCCTTTCAATTATGTTTCGAGCGCTTAGCATAATTATTTAGAATAGGATTTTAGAAAAGCAGCTAGAGGAGATAGCGAACGTTGGAAGTATGCAACACGTGTAAAAAAATGATAATAAATGATTCGAATTGACGAGGGCACGCGATCGCAGTAAATAAACCGAGCAATTTCCGGAAAATCCCCTTGTCGAGTGAGAGTCCTCACGTGCGCACCTGCGACCAACTTCCGTCCGCCTGTCAGCCGCTTCACAGGCTATAACTATTAAATCAAAGAATTAATTATAACCCTAATCTCACTTCGTAAATAGTTTGGGCGCGTTGCCAAATTGCTTAATCAATTGCTTCTAGCGACAAGTCATTATTATATAACACAAAGTCATGTCAGTGGAATCAAAGCATGCCAGATTGGCGTGCTCTAAAGAAAAAAAATGTTTCTATAATTTTATTATGTACCTCATATGATTAAAACAGATGAAGAGAATTTTTTACTAAAAGCTACTATTGCACAAAATCTGACAGACTTCGTTTTTTATGCTGTATCATTTAGAGATTTTTTCACACAAAATTAAATTTTCATATTTTTAAAAGCAGCTTTTAAATAATAAAAATGAATATAGTATATATTTACAATTTTATATTCAAACGTAATACCTTTTTTGAAAGAATTTATTAAATAAAACATTAAACTACGTTAGAATAATAGTTTTAATCAGATACGTTTACTGTGTTCAAATTATTTATAATTACCAAAGTAGATATGATAAATCACGATAATTTAGATGAAATAATCTTTTAGCGATCTTTTTAAAAATATCTTTAAAAAAACTGTTTTACTGCGATATACGAAGTAGATATACAAAGTAGAAGTAAATTTGTGGTTCTGACAACAATCTTACATTTTCTATTAATATTTGTTTTAGATGGAGGTGTGGTGGGTGGTTCGAGAGCAGGACCAGTGGTGACTCCACATACGCTGGAACTGACACTACGTGGTAGGGTTTTGCTGCAGCTCGCACCGCCGGAAACTGCTCGAGCGTACCTGCCACCAGAGTATCGACCCGGCCGCATATATTCAGACACGGATTCGGAAAAAGTACGTCATATTCAGCACGGTACTTAATGACGCGCCATTAATCCAATAACGGATTGCACTCTGACCGATCGCGACGTCCGTCACTCGAAAGACTTTAAAATAGGTATTCCCATATGTTTGGTACACACCTGGTTCTCTATTACGTAATTGCAACTTACATTTTTAACGGCGTATTTCGAGATTAATTTCCTTTGCATTTTCCACCAATTCTTTCTCTTTTTGATCGATCTACTTACGAAGCTTATTATTGCCCTTTACGAAATGTTTGAACGAGTTTCCGAATGTTCAATCACATAATACGATATTTATACTGGCAAGAGTAAACATTCAAAACAGAATGATTGCGCGTTGTGAAACAGATGAGGATCAAGAAACGGCATAATAAATAAAACATGTTTATTAGGAACATCTCCATTTCTCCAATCATTCAATTACACATACGCGTGTATAAATTATGGTAGTATTTACGGAAGGGCGAGGCCGATGGCATAATTAAAAGAATATCGTGCATGGAGAATTATTAACGCATCCTATTAAAATCCTTTCAGCATGAAAAGGATTAAGCCGCTGTAGCCGTCCTTTGACGGCTCGACTTTTTATTTACTCGACTTCCGCGTTTCAGTGCAGGGTGAATTTTTAACGAATCCACCACCGCCTCGCCCTAACCGTTCGAAGAACTTGAAGAACGAAGAGAGATGCAACAGAAGCCGATTTTTGTGTACCTTTAGCAAAATCCTAGCGCCCATTCTATGGTCTCTCTTGCATTTTTTTTTTCGGCACGTCTGTCGGATTTTCTCGCTCTCTCGTTCATCCTCCACCCCCCAGCGGTGATCCCTTTCGCTCCCCTTTAGCGCTATCCTTTCTTCTCGTTGATGACCGGACGGAGTCCCGTTGTTTCAAATGCGCGCACAGACCGGTATTTATCTCCTGCAGATTAAAGGAAGAACAAACGACGCGTACGATAAATAAACTTTGGCGTATCGTTCTTTTATATCATCAATTCCGAAGCCTCTATCTCACTCTCGCTCTTAACGAAGAGATAAGACTTCGCGGAAAGCACGTAATCTTGATTACTCTGCTGCATTCGTATCGCTCGTTAAACACGCAAAAAGACGCGTTTATACGTTATTTACGCGAAAAATATAACTATTGAAATAGAAATAAAACTCGTGATGTTTATGATAGTAAATATAATGTTTATATAGGATTATATGACGGAAGTGAATAAAACCAGTGAGGAAAGAACAAAAGATAGGAAATATGCTTTTACGATTCAATATTCTATAGTTTGAAATATCCGTCGTGAAAAATCGTGAAAAACTTAGATATAGCTTCCATTTTACAAACACACCAGTGTGTACATTTATCGATGCCCAAAAAGGAATAGCATGATAGTTTATTGACGGAAGATGGGATAATGTGAACAAAACTAAAAGCGGAGTGATGCAATTCAACATACTGAAAGAATGATTAACTTTCGCGTTTTATATTTTATTACTCTAAAACTAAGATCCATGACTCGAAAGTAGAAGTAAGAAAATATTCTAGAAGTTAGACAATGAATATTTCTTCTTCCATGCGAAATTACGATACGGACCAATATTAATTATCTCGAAAGCGCGATATCGATTTAATGCAAAATACGAAGTTCTTTCAATAAAACTCGTTAGAATATAATATTTCAATCTGTTTTCTCTCTGTCACGTAAACCGGCATCAAGATGCAATATTCGGTTTCAATCAAATAAAGTACTGATGCATTTCCATCAACGATACTTTGAAACGTATCAAAAAATAAATTTCGATTTGTAGCAACACGATTTTAACGAAGGAAGAAAATTGCTTCATTGCACACAGCAAAAAGTATGATAATTTTTACTCCTACGTCAGAAATAATTATCACTTTATCAGTAATTAATAGAGACAACCGTTTTGTTCGTGACAATCGTAATGAGAAAGTACGAAAGAGTCGTAATAAGAAAGTACGAAAGGGTCATTTTTTTTACAATCTATTTTTTAAATATTATATGGAAAAAGGTAATAGTGATTCATTAACTTTCCTGTAATCTGTTTCAATTCTACGATTTTAAATTATGCATTTGAAGTCATAAACTTGAAAGAGATCGATATTTTATAGTTTACACTGCATTGTAAAATAATAAAAAAACTTAGAATCATAATTAAAGATAATTATATTATACAATTTAATTGCATGGAATTAAACATATATATTCTCACGTTTTGTATAACCTTTTATCTTCCACAAAGCACTAACATGCATAAAGTGTCAAAAAATATTTCAATCAAAATTTGTCGAAGAATTAACCTCTAAAAATACTGTTCGTTTGAGTTATATTTTTGATCTAAAACATCCTAAATTCATCACTGATAACAGAGTTCTATGCACCTTGACATTCACGTCACGATTCTACTTTTCCGGAAAGCATGAAACTCCCACCGGTGGTGGCTGCAGCATCATGGTACACAACGACGATTACCTGGACGACATAAAGCCAGCACGAAAAAGCACTCGACTTTCCGGCGATTGTCGCTCTTACATTTTTCACCGCGTGACACAATGCACAAGCGAACTGTTAGAATGATCTCTGTGACATGGTTAGAGTAGCGCTCAGGTGCTATAACTTTATGTGTAACATTGTTGCTTCCCTTCCGTGTAAATAAATGAGAAAGCCACGAAGTCAATGTAGAAATTCATAAAAGGGTTCAAATCATAAAGATCTTGCTTTTCTGACGTTTAATTATAAATGCTGACAAAAAACCTTGCGCTGCTAAATAAAATAAAATACGTGGGCAAAAAGTAATTAAAAAACTGAGAGAAAAATGTCGCGTGATAAGGAATTATTTATATCGACTATAGTGTTTATTATTTTTTTCAAGCATCCAATGGAAGGTATCGAATAATATCGAGATGCTTAGTTTTCAAGTATCGAAGATACGAAGTCTGCATAGTCGATATTTTCTACTACTATCGGTGAAAGTATTGGACAACATTGTTTTTCAACAAATAAAAATGTCAATAACTAATACTTTCTCGAATCTACAAAATCCTCCTAGATGTGTTTAGATGCGTATGTGTATACATGTTCTCTTGCGGAAATAAGAAAGATCCGATTATTACATCCGCTTTATATAGAAACAGACTCGGCTTTCAAGATTGATGTATACTTCAACAGACACAGTTTACCTGATACAAAAGTTGTTCCTGAGAGTGCTGTAGCTCTTCTTTAGATAACATAACTTTTTTATTTATCAATCTAATGCTAAACATCACTCAGAATGAGAAACATTTCAAAATTGATCGTGAGCTTAACAGAAATAATATTTCTTTTTATACGCCTAACTATAGTCATTCTTTTTCTTATAAATTAAATGATACAATTTTTCGTACGCGCATAATAATAAAATGCATTTTTAAATTTATAGCAAGTTTAAAATTTAATAGGAATATGTCTAAGTATTTAACATTGCTAATTATACAGGACGTCCCAGATTTATCGTAACATTAGTTAATAGTACATTCCTGAGAGCATTTTGAAACGAAAATTCTAACATTAAAATGTCGAGGTTACAATAGTTTTTAAATGAGAAAAGTTTGACTAATTAAACTGTCCAAAATTCATGCGTTCAGGTATAACACATCGCATAATAGTGAAAGGAATGCAAAATTATATTAATATAAAAAATAAAATTCTTGTTTAAAAATACCTTCATTGTTATGCTATCTCTAAGCGCGCGAATTCAGGATAGTGATCAGTTAACTTTAAGTTCTTTTCATTTAAAAACTGTTATAGCTACATTTTAGCATTAAGATTTTCGTCTCGAAATAATATTAAAAATTTATACCATTAAATGTTATGGTAAATCTGGGACAAAAGAGAATTTGTAAATAGCTTATAATGTAATGGAAATCCTAAATACAATTGCACCGATATTATTTAATGCTATTATTGCATTCTTAAATCAACGTTTAATGTACTTTTATAATTAATCACATTTAATGTTTAATATGTTTAATAAGGATTAATCTCATTTTGATTTCAGATGTGGATGTATTCTTTAGGCAGGGCATTATTGGACACGACTCCCAGAGCAACGGCGTTAACGGGGACCGTTTCCGTTTCACCCTCTTCCGCTTTGCAATCAGTGTTGGCTGCCATGACGGAGCCTGACCCTCGTAGGCGTGCCTCCTTGATGAATTTACTCGACGTAAGTTTTAATGAAATTCTTCCAGAATTTCCTTCATCCTAAAAGTCTCCTTTCCTCGTTGTACTTCCATCAATCTTCTCAAGATTTATCAATATAATATATATAAATATATTTATTTAATGCGTTTTTCTCGTACTTTTCAAAAAACTCTCGCACGTTCATTCATCATCAGGACAACACTCATGCGCACATATGTAAGCTTCACGTTACATAACTGGCGAACATTGTGCGAAGAGTACAATCTGCTAATAAAAGGCCGAGACTTTTTTGCCGATTTTGCCGCGAGGTACGGGCAGATAGCTCAAAAATTCCAAAGTTCATTGTGTGCGCAATATCGACGGTTCGAAATAAATCAGCCAGTATCGTTTAAAGTGACTCTTCAGCGTTCGATATTTCACCCTGTGCTCTGTAACAACGCATCATTTTCCATACGTATCTATCGCAAAACAGTTATCGATTCAAGTTTCATCATTCAGTTACTAGTTGTCCGATATGTCTGCAGACAGATAAACGTATGTTTATCATTGATGCAGACGATATCCAATGATATATATTTTAATCTTTCTTATTTACATTATATTTATGATTTATTTGATATATTCTTATTTTTTTAGATATATTTTATTTCATGATAAAACTAGATATTATAATTGCGGTATCTTAATTGCGGAAAATACATTCCAAAAATTATATAATAACACACTTTAAATAATCGGTGTATGATTCTACATTGCTGTATTAAATTAAATGTTTTAACCTTTAAACACTTTTTTGATATGGTATACCCGATTTTTTCCTAATGCTCTTCCAATACTTTTTCTATTGCTTACAACTGTTTTATATTAATAAAGATACATATATTTGCTTAGTATCGCTATATGTTTTTCAAAAATTGTTTGGCGTTTTGATTTGAAAAATGTTTTTTCAATATGTGCATTTTTATGAAAGTTACAAACCGAATTGGATTGTATATGCCATACAACAGTGTATTGTTCCCATGTGGCGTTTAAGAATTAATGAGTACACATCAAAGAAATTGTCATTGTAGACAATTATGATCACGGATCACAAGTATACATTCAACGTGTTTCACCGCAACTTGAATTTTGATAATTCGCGAATTAACAATACTTAACAATATTGAAATACATAACGAAATTAATTTCCACATCACGAATACAAATGGTGAGTAATTCGACGTCGCGAATGTATTCATATGAGGAGCTACGTCAGACTGGAATTAGGTACAAACATATGAGGAATGCATAGCGCGTATCAAGAAAGGCCAGGTCGTCTTTATGATGAGAATAATAAAGCAATTTGTCGCTAATAACACGCGACATTACGTGACGTTGAAATTTCGAGATGCAACGTATCAGAGAAACTTGATCCTTAGCTTGTAACTGCGCGGACTAGATATTATAGCAAACGTGTATACGTGTCTAGTCTTCATGCGTAGAGTCCATGTATCTGCATAGACATGCATCTATTATATAGATCATAATTACAAGTAGTGTTCTACATAAAATACCTGACTCTTGCAACGGAAGTCATAAGAAAAATGCACAGGAATAATGTTTCATTCCTATGCATTTTTCTCACAACTTTCATTTTATACTACGATAATCTAAATTACGATTCACAGAGAGAAAAAAAAGAACAGATTGTATAACAATAAGTAATATCATCGTTAGAAATATCAAAAATAATGTATTGAGCACTATGCGTATTTCCATTTAAACAGCAAAGCTATCGCGGAAATATGTTTTGCTTTTTCGCGATAAGTTTAAAAAGAGAATTTAGTTATACCTAGTTTATCTCTAACTTTGGTAATGTTCATACGGGATTAATCGATAGACCACATAGACTTAATCATAGCCACACGACACCATGCGGCCCTTGAGTATCCGCCGTCGGCTTGCATGAAAGCTCGCTTTAATTGAATCACCTATCACGGACAGAGCGAGCAGGCTGCACGTGCAGCATTTGTACGTCGAGACGACATCCGAGGTACAAACAGGCAGCGATGATTTGCGTGACAAGGAATAGTGACGTGAGATGTCGCATTGCAATAATGGATATACGTGTCTCTAAGTGAAACCCGAAGAATGGGCGAGTCAGAAATAATATTTAGTATCTGATTGAATACCACATTATGAAATTTAATTAACTATACGAAGCAAAAGAGAAATGTTCATAGTTATGTATCGAGATTACGCTGAGATAATAAACGTGTGCTCAATTTATAATAGGTAGTAGCTCAATTATAACTGTTGCAAGTTTAATATTATTTGAAACTTTGTTTTAATAAAATATTAATTTAAGACTCCTTCAAGATACTTAATGCCGTCAATTAAAAAGTTGTGTAAATCGAGTTTAATTAAATTACATTACGTTCTCTTCCTTTCAAGGAATAAGAAACTCTTAATTTGAAAAAAGAATATATCGTAAGGAAAAAACGTAGAACAGCATGTTTCAAAATATCTTATTATACACACATGTGCATATATAATTTATATATATATATATATATATAAAATATATTGATATACTTTATATATATATAACATACGTATATATGTATACATATAATATGTAAGTCTTAATACAAACTGAAAGCCAATTGATTAAATGGATATACTTCGCTCCAACAATTGCCAACCGCACATAATAGATCGATGAGTTGTGGTACAACACATTCGAAGCATGTCACGTAGAAAAGATAATGAAAATGATGTATGTGATGGAAAATACTTTACATTGTTGTAAAAAATGTGTCATTTAATTTACAATCGCATGCTCCATGTATGACATTTCTACAAAAAAATATGTACATATATCTCTTTGTAATATTAACTTAAAAAAAATATATACTTATCTCTTTCTAATATTAATTTAAACCTAATGGTATTTCAAACGCATGTTGTTTATGTGTTTATTATAATTTAATTATTTGAATAAATAAATTTTGTATATAATGCGGAGGGTTGTGTATAGAACATAAATACGTTATTATAGGTGCAATATATTGCATCGAATTAATTTCTGCTGACTGTCGGTATAGTCTACCCATGTAATAAACAAAATAAGATTAATATTAATTGCAACTCCCGTTTCTCTTACTCACATTTGAAATTAAAATGTATTTTCCAGGTGCGATGTCGACATAAAAATTTCCCATTACGCAGTTTTGTTATTAACGCAGAGAGGATTTAACGAGGGGAAATAATGCATACGGGCGATTTCTACCTATTCATTCGATTTTCAACGACATTATACAGATGCAAATGGCAAGATGAAATTTAATCGTGGGCGATGGACTCGCGTGACACCCCCGCATATGATTAAATTATTTTGATCAGACAGCAAACAGACGGGCGATGCAGATTTCTCTCACGTGTAAATATTAGGGCGAACAGATAGTATGATAGAGGATGCGGTCGCACGTTGCAACATCACGAAAACACAGCGCGTCACATATTTTCGCACAAACATGCAAACGTGTCGCGATCCTTTCAAAATTTTTCAATTACCTCTATTATAATCTTGGAACGCGTATAAACCTGAGATAAAAGAAAAAACCAATTTCTTTTTTTCCTTACTTTTTTTATAGAAAACTTGGGATAAGAAAGAAAAAAAAATTTCTCATCTTTAATTTGTAAATATAAAAGAACTTTCGTGCGAGAATGACCGTAATATTGTTCGACTTTTAACACATCGATATAAGAAATTAATTAAAAAATATACACTCAGATTTTATAATGGCTCAAGTACATAAATATAACAGTATATCGAATTAAAATGAAGATAAAACGAGGCCCATTGTATAATGAAGCTACCGATAAATTTGTGGAAGCCAAATAGCGGATTCAAATCTCGTTCTTAAGAGATTATTTTATGCAAGAAGGGGACACATAATTAGACGACTGAGACATTACAAGAAATAAATTCGTAAACCGATTCGCATACATCCTGTGGATCTTCCAAGGGTTTAGCGTGCCTCGAACGGCACGACGAGCGGCGGTCTGGAACGCGAAATTGCATACGAGGGTGGTGGGCTACATATACCTACGATAATTTCACCGAGCTTGATGATTAACGGGCAGCAATCTCAAAAACGCGGCGACCGTTATCGCGCGCGAAGGACGAGGCGACCGTAATAAGTCGTCCATCTCGGACCGCGATAATTCAGCAGGTGCACCCCCGATAACCCCCGAAATTGATGAAATCAGCCGGCGGGGAGGCGGAAAGACGAGGGTACGGCATGCGGCGTAATGCGGAACCGCAGTTTCAACGAGGAATCCTCGGCGGCCAATAAATTATCCGCTCGAGTACCTACTTTGCTTGGCTGTATCTATCCGCGCGGATAAAGCAAGTTTGTGGCTGAACACGCCGGGGTTAAGACGAGTGCCTATCTGACTTCGCAGAAGATGGTGGATGCCAATCGTGGCACGAATTGATGGCCAACGGTGCACTATTTGCCGTTATTTGTTAAAAATAATGCTCTACACGTCTATTACTCTTCCCGCACATCGCTTATTTTTTAATGTCCCAGTGTAATGAAACGGCATATCAATTTCAGGTCTCTGTCCACTGTCCTCATGCGTCAAAAATTTTTTATTGTAACTGAATGAGAGGTCATCTTGATCCTATTTATTAATTTCAGAATATTTCCGTATTAAATTTTCTGACTGATTAATATATTTGTCTAAATTCCATTCTTAACTAAAAATTTTTATCATTAATTCATTATTCAACATTATATTTGATACTAAAAGAACTGACTTCTCATTTATTAAACAATGTGTAGAAGTAATTTCTTTATCGTTTTTTAAACTTATTGAAAGTCTTCATTCTTTCTCTCATTTATTAAAATTCTTCTCAATACTTATAAATCCATTCTCATAAATTTATTAAAATTTTTATCTATTCTACAATAAAAACGTAAGAAGAAACACTTGAGCAATGAAAAACTACGAACGCATATATCACCCAATTGAAACTCAGAACTATCCCAACTGATTAGAACTCTAATCAATTTCGAGTAACAAAACTGAAAGCTAGCATCACGATGAATAAAAAGCAACATTCTAATTAATAGTACACAGATAACATTTCCAAGAATGATAGTTTCATTATGAAATCTTTTTAAAAAAAGAATATCTTACATATAATACTTAAAATCTTTGACTATACGTTTGCATTCATCATCATAGGGAACACAATGACGCGTTAATAGGTATTAGCACTTCTCCCTCAGGATCTTAGCTTAGCAGGATCTATAGAATTACGACAACAACTATTGTCTTCTTAAGCTAATAGTTCGTCTACTGCGCGACGCGAAAGTTTCGAAATTAGATAATCGGTGCACTGGGTAGCACGATAAACGCATCTGCACGATCACATTATGTCTGCGATGATTACTGCGAACTTTCAGATTTGTGTGAACGTTTATCTAATATATATGTATATATATTACGCTAATTAAGTAATTCTAAATTTTACGTCACAAGACAATACTAATTATGCTAACCATTGACATACAAAAGTTTATGTATTACACATCTTTAATTTTGCATTTTTCAGAAACTCTCCAATTAAAAAAGATGTTATGTTTTTGTATGTTCATAAGTCTAGTCACTAATCATATATTGAATTACAACTCTCTTCTCTCTCTTTCTTCCTCTCTACTCACACAGTTTTCGTTTCTATCGCGGATTATTTCTTTATTTCCTATATTAGATTCACAATAAGTAAAAGCCATCCACGCCATTAATAGACTTAACAATATCATGTTCTTACTTTTGCAGGTAATATCCGAATATTGTCGGACACGTCTACAAGCAAGGCCCTTCACTCACATAGTGATGGAGATGTATCGAGAGGTTGTGAGATCGCCGCAATACGCCGCGCGGAAACGAGCAATGCAGCTGAATGCCCTGTGTCCTACACGGAACATGGTTGAACAATTGAACCAACATAAAATCTACGGGCATCATCATCATCCGCAACAACAGCAGCAAGACTACGTCCAAGTTGTGAATGGTCAACCGCAATCTATTCAACATCAGACTCGTATTGGGCAATATTTGTCGAATCAATTAGCTGTTCAGCAACGGCACCAACAACAACACGATCATATTCAACGTCAGGCTAATCAATTTCGCTCGCTTCACCAGCAACAGGATTATGCACAGCAGCCACCAAAGGGTCAGCAGGATCATCGTAGTCATCATTACAATCATCAGCACGCGAAAGGGACGCATTTCAGGACACAATCGCGCAATTCCCAGTCACATCCCAATTTGACGAGCTTGTGCGATTCACAGCAACAGCAGCAGCAACAACAGCAACAACAACAACAGCAGCAGCAGCAGCAACAGCCATATCGGGATACTGCCCTCAGCGGTTACAGAGCGCACTTTCAATCGCAGCTGGATATCC